ACGATTTTACTGTCGTTGCTGAGACTTCTGCGAGCAGCTGGATCAAGTGATAGCTAAGCTGAGAAGCATACAGAGGGAAGTCATGTCCCTGAGTGACAACGCGCGTCTACGCGCGCGAGATTGAGTCGGATGAAGTTGCGCAGCGTCGACTGGACGGTTTTTCCCGAACACCGTATAGCGCCATCGGACTATTACCACTTTCGATCTTTTTCTCATCATCTGGGAGGGCGCCACTTCATTGATGAAGGTGATCTCAAAATGGACCTCAGTCTTCTCTCCGCTGCTGGGGAGGTCATCGATGGAAACTGAACACAAGAGTGTGAACAGTTTGAAAATGAAAGATTGGAAAAAGTCCCAGAAATTATTGGCCAGTTAGATAAGAAGGAGGGTGCCACTAGACGTTTCGCGCAGCAAACGACGACGGGTTTTTGAGAGCACTACATGTTTGTTGTGGTTACCCATGATGGATTCTGATCCCCTACTTCTCTCCCTTCCTTAGAACTATTCGCCACAATTTTTTCTTGAAGTTCGTCTCAAAAAGATACTTGTTTTAGTAAAAGGCATGTTTACCCGATTTGACTGCACGTGCCAAATGGGTTCACGCAAATTTCCTGTAGCTAGCCTTTCCTGGCCAGGAAAAGTTCTAGAAAAACCACTGCCAGCTCAGGACAAGGCTCTCGCCATTGCCGCATCCGCTTTGAATTCGTAATACTTTCAGAAGTGGAGCGACTCCGCTTTTTCTGGCTTTGGAGCATCAACAAGAAGGAAACACTGCTGGTTACATTGTCGGAGATGTTGAAGTGCTTTTCAAAGTCCATGCCAGTGTCTCCGGTGAGATATGCTCTCAGGGCTTGAGTTATGAAATAAAATATTCTTTTAGACAAGGCTTTTTATGGTCTCAACGTAACAAACTCTATTATAAATGGCAATATTGGTAATGGGGTGTCTGGTCATGACATCCGCGAGAGAACAGCTCTCTCTAATGTGACCCTCAACCAGAATCAGGGACTAGCTGGGTTCCTTATCAAGGTAATGGCGACGAGTACTGTAGCTGTAGCGCTGACTAAATTAATGTAATTATAGGATGGAGCAGCCGACATTTGGCTGAATGACACCAGAATCCAAGAGAACTGGGGTGATGGTGTGAATATTAGCTACGCAGGCGGTGCAATCACAATCAACGGCACTCGCCTGGAGAGAAATCGTTGGAGAGGTTCGTTGAGGACCGATTCCTGTGCTTGGTGTCTCTTTTAGGTGACAATTTGGCAATTTCAGGAGCTGCTTTTCATTTCAACGACTCATCGCCTTTTCTCGCGCTTCATCAGGAAATCGTCTTCAAAGGACGACCTTCAAACAACATCTTCTATTTGCCGACCATCGTCGCCGACAACAAATGGGGAGGTGTTCTTGTGGGGAACTTCTGCATACCAGCCTATCGCAATATCGAACCTAAGGTACCAGAAGTTTTTCTCTGTTTCATTTGGTCACTAACGTTTGCAACTGTGCTTTTTATTCCATAACTTTTACTTTCTTTCAGTTCGATATAAGTTATCTAAAATGAAACATGGATTTTTTTTTCAAATTTACCTTGTAGCACCAACTGCAATAAATCGTTAGTTCAGTGGAAATCAAATTCGAATCCACATTTTTCAGGTGCTGATCAATTGGGTTGAGTTTCTCAGCAATTCTTACCATCCTGCTCTGGAGATCCACTCTTGCCAAGGTTATGGAACTGCACGAACCGTTGTTGACATTACTGGAAATCGAATCGAAGGTAAGCAAAGCCAGCGACGCCAAATCCCCTACAGAATACTTCCTCACTAGTTTCAATTTTTTGATTTTTTAAAATATTAAGTTTTCATAATAATTTTATTTATTTTGGTTTTTGTCACTATTTGTCACCTTACTATTGTTCGCTTTTATCTTGAATATTTACTTACTGATTCATTGTTTATGTTACACCCCCGTCTCAACCTGCTACAGCTTTTGGACTTATATATAAGTGCAAATGGTGGAAGGATGATGTTTTCGCCGTTGACCGATCCATTTTTGGGATGCGCCATGCATTCTAGTTCCATTCAGAATCGAAGTATAGTCTAGATCGCTGCAGACGAAGGGGCGTGTCAGGCGTGATGGGTTTGGCGTAGTGCCAAACCGGTCCTCCATCAGTTCTCGATGACAGCAAACAAGACTGTATCACATCGTTTGTATCACTCGTTTTCTACCAATTAGTGTCGCATGCCCGCTTCGCCACTCGGTGAAGAACGGGTTTGGCGCCATTGCACACTCAAACTGCCTGACACGCCCATTCATCTGCAGCGAACTAGAGTATAGCTTATTGAATGCGATATGGCCTATGCAATGTCTTGCGAAGACCAGACCATGTACAAATCAATGTTTTTATCCTTTCGACGGATCTGGTGCCAAGTTACCGGGTAGAAGGCTGGGATGGCTTTGGCGGGAGCCGATAGCGAGATTCGACCACGGACCAAGCGCGTTATAAACGGGCCACAGACCACCATCTCCCCTATTACTGCTTACTCTACTCTGTTTTCCATATTATTGTTTTTACCTACTATAGTTTACCTGTAAAGCCAAGCAGCGAAGAGCTGATGAGCTCCGCCAAAATTCTCGAGGATTTCTTCAGGAAATGGCGGCATGGGATTTCGGATGGCGCCGTCAGTGAACGTACTAGCTTTCATCAACAGTAACCAGTTTCTGAACAACAACGACACAGCTTTGTTTATTAAAAATGCCAATCATCCGCAGCTGTGGCGTCTGAGAGCAAATGTGAGTCTGACCTTCCATCCTGAACCGGCAGGGAATAAAAGACTGGGAAAAAAATGATGTTTATCGTTTACCCTCGTCTAACTTTCTTTGTTGTCTCCAGTCGTGTTGTTTTCTAGGTGAAATTCAAAAAATTCATTCAAATTCAATCGTGGAAAGTACATCATATCTGTTGGACTGAACGAGGATGCCCCTGCTCAGCAGTTGATTTTTAACCAACAAAATGAGGTTCGCATCCGTTCGAAGAATTCCATAAAAGCGAACCAAAAGTGTAAATTAAATATCACTCTCCTTTTCAGGTTCGTGAGAATGTTGTGTTCAACCCGTTTCCAGAACTTCGCCCACGTACCACTCCCTATGCGGCTATGGTCGTCTCCAGCAGGTATCGTTTTGCCGTTGAAAGAGTGAAGGTTATGAAGTCGGCTACGGCTTATCCATTCTTCAGCAATGTGATCATCCGTCGGAACTGTTTCAAAAACCCTCAAGCCTCTTATGAAATCGGTACCGAACTCGACGAACACGCGAAACGGATCGATGCTCGAGAAAACAACTGGGGATCGCCGGTGCCGTCGCAATTCATGAGCAAGATCTTCGACCAGGTTAGCTAATCGTACCACAGAATGACCTCAATTTATGGTCTTTGAGAAACACCAATTCTTCCCCGAAAGCCATAGTGGCAAGCCATTGTAAAAATTGGTTCAGAAAAGTGAAGAAAATAGTCGTCAGTGTTTAGTAAGGTTGTAAATGCCAAAAAACTCAAGGACCTTTGTCGCAACATCTTATCATAATCATTTTCAAATTCGTATTTTTTATTTTGTCCATAGGATACAAGGTGTATTTTTCAGTTCAACCGCTATTCGCTAGCCGAGATCGTCGTTGGTCCGTATGCTGCCGTCTGTAACCAGAGAAATCCACACATCACTTATCTGCAAGAGTTCTTTCGTGAATTTCGAAAGGACTCACAGCCTTTCGTTCTTGGTGGCACCATCTATGAGAATCACGACTTGGTCCCAGGCAGGCGAGTTGTTATCATCTGATTCTTTTTGGTAGTCTATGCTTATGCTCCGAGGCAGCAAGATTTATGGATGGATAGCTCCCTTACCAAACACAAACTTAATGTAGGCGCACTTGCCTCCTGCGAAAAAGTAAAGCTAGCCTAAAAAAGACAATAGTGAGTTGTAATTGATAACAGCGCAATCAGTCGCGGGCGGTGTCAGGAGGGGCGGAATGAGCCCGTCTACTGCTGCCTTGCTCTGCCAATTTTGATCGATTTAGGAAGAAAACAATCAGCGGTGGAAACGTCGCGGATATCGTGTCATCCGTCATGAAACCGCTTGACTTACTGCGGCAGAATCAACTATACCTTCCTCACAGATCAAGAGAAAAATCATAAGATTCCCATCACAAATCAAAAATCATAAGATTCCCAGTACAAATCCTGTAGCTCTGGTGTAGGGCTTCGAAAAGAGCTTCGAACATCAATCATCTACTGGACCGAAACAGTTTTCTGACCCTCCATGGGGCCATGGCACACACATCCTTGGAGATTTCGTGAATGGCGAAATCGCATTTAACAGTTCGAAGAGGTCGTACTCGAGGCTTGTTGGGAAATTTTCCTGAATTTGTGTGCTGCTCTACTTTTTTTCTGTATCTTAGATTGTTGATCATATCGACAGAGATCTGTTCCAAGTCGCGAACTCTGAGCTGACCGCGCTTAGGGCGAGGGAGGTTTTGCTTTTGAAATTTTTCGTGACAAATCCTACCTGCATGTTTTACTTTGAGGCGTGGCCTTTTTATGGGGCGGAAGATGACAGAATGGAAAAATGGGAGCGAAATTTCTTAACACGGATAACTTCCGGGTTACTCCCACACTCCTCCTCCCGCACATTTTCATTGGAACAAGGTACATGCGTCACCAGGCCCGCTGGCGCCCTGCTGGGGCCGACGCCTTCTTCTGACATAACTAGGCAAGCTTCCGGCTGGGCGGGCTCTACCTATTCCACACACTTGAATGCCCACATAGTATCCGGCTTTTCTTCTGTCTGAACAGATGGTCAACATTCTTTGACCAATAGCATCATACCTGCTATTTTCAACACTATTTATATGGAATGGTGGTAAGGAGCGTTGATCAGTTGGACAGATAAGGGAAAAACTGGGCATTGGTTGAGCATTTGATCATACGAAAGCAAGTAGGCCGATGGAGCCACGCCTTGCAAGGCCGGGCCGTATTGCAAGGCCTGTCTGGCAGTGCCTGAGTTGTCTTTGTAACCCGCTCCACCGAATTTTAAGCCTGGCGTTCGCCCACGTCGGCGCCACGCTCAGCCCAACTAACGGGTATGCCCACACTTTTTAAACCAGGTGACGCCCTCGATGCCGTTAAACTACTTTTTCGCCGCTGTCTGGAGTTACATCGTGTTAGGAAATTCGCTCCATATCATTCTGTCATCTTCGCGTATTCTGGAACCGTTTTACGAATTTTTTTGATTTTGGCACCACTTGGCTGCACACTCGACCTAGCAGCTAGTACGCACTCACACCTTTGTGAAGATGACCTATCGGGTGATGCTTAACTACTTTTTGCCGGCGTCTGGCAGTTTCTGGAAACGGTTTTAGGAATTTTTTTTTTAAACTTGGCTCCGCCACCCGCGCATGCTTCGCCCACAACGGGGATGCTCGCGCACAACACTCAACATTGTCTGTAGTGCTCATGAAGCAAACTACGATTTTTTTTTCACTCGGTACGTAGGGTTTAAAGGCACGCGCGGGGGCCTCGACATGCTCAGACAGTTGTGGACTTCTTGCCGAGATATCCTCTTTCGTCATGGACTTTGTCTGCTAATCTCTAGCAGTTTTTTCGGGAAACGCGAGTGCGACACTTTGTGGGAAGCACCACTTATCTCAAAGTACGCCCTGCCCATTTCGGCGTGTCGTCTCTCTGTTGGTCTGTCAGCCCTTGGTAACTTTATGCACTTTCCTACATCTCGGAACTAGCTCTGACACTTATGAGTTTTTTTTTCAGGGGACATCCGACTTAATTCAACGCACGGATCTGCCACTTGGGCGGGGCTCTTTACCAGGGTCCAGTGCTATTTAAATACGTCCATGCTCTACCCATTCCCATCAATGCACCACACACACTCCGAGTTCTTTAAAGTGGCTCTGGAATTTCGGTGAGCACACACACAGACACACACACGGATATGGTCGATTATATATGGTTGATATTTCGCATCTTGTGGGCTCCGGGATTATGTATGCTTACACTGAACTCTGCCTTGCGATGACGCCACTGTCCGGCCGCAGAGCTGTCGTTGAAGGGCACTGTTATGCAGCCTTTGTGAAGTTTTCCGAAAACGTTTCATTTCGTCGCTTCGGAAAATGATGACTTTTCTGATGCCCTATAGACAACAGTTGTTTTAGGTACACCGTAGTCGACGACCTGCACGTAGTTCCCGGAGCAAAACTGACCATCGCGCCGGGCTCAATTCTCGAATTCCACGAGGGCATCGGAATGCTCGTACAGGTGTGTTGACTTGACTGTGTATATCGACCATTTCTCGAAAGAAGAATCCTTTTGTAGGGCGAACTGTCAAGAACAGAATTCTTTGGTCCCGAGAAGCAAGTGGTTTTCACTAGCAAGCCATTTGTTCTCGCCAAGAACAAAAATATCCGATTGGTGGACGATGACGGCAGTGACGAAGTCACAGAAGGACCGAGCTGAGGGTGGATGCGCTCAACACTTCTAAGATAGCGCTTGTTGAGGCGCATTTCCACCTGGGAGCGAAGGTTTGGGGAGCTGTCGAGAACACTCATAAAATGTCGGCAAAGTTATAAAAATCTTTGTTATCCGAAGGCTCTAGTGCTACATAACCCTCACATCGGTCAAGATATCCCCACTGCTTGTGGATATTTTGTTATATATTATTATTGGATAAGGCGTACAAGGACCCAGTATGGTTTTATATACCCTCCTATCCGTAGTTTCGTGGCATTCAACCCGGATTTCAGGTATTTGTTGACGGCACGTGGGGTACGGTATGCAACCGAACTTGGTCAGCACAACTGGCGCAACTCGCATGTAATCAGCTGGGTTTGATTGCCGATCCGGAATTCTTTGAAAACTGGAGGATATTCCGCTCCCAGGGAGATCTACCGATGATTATGGATAACATTCGATGCGAGGAAAACGAGGTTTGGCCAGTCCTATGCCGTTCATATTCGTTTCTGATTGTATCAGTTTCACCCAGATCGTGCCTTATAGGTGGACTTGACCCATTGTCGCCATGACGGTGTCGAACACAATGTTGCTGCTGGATGCCGACCCACTGAAGTAGTCGGTCTGTGCATAATGGGCTAAAGATTCCCTTTTGCGATTTCTAAAATGATGTCTTTCAGCTATTCGATGCGCTGAACCTCGCTGGGCTGGCGTCCGTTACTCGTTACTTGCCAATCCGCCAACTTTCACCGGTCAGACCACTATGAGTAACTGGATTATTGAGAAGGTTTGCTACTTCAAGTGTCCTGCTGTCTCTGTATAACTGTCTCGTCTAGCCCTCCGCCCATTTGATTATCGCGGAATGTGCCACTAAAGTAAGTCGCTCACGCTTTCAGGCTGGTTTGTTTGACTTCCGAGTTCCTGTGTTCTCTCCTGCTCTGCAAATCGACTGGAACTATCACGTTTTCCACAACCTGAACATAAGAGTGCGTTGATTGATGAATTTTTCTATTTTGACAAGACAGAGTACTTCTTCAGAATAACTTCTGGAATGGTATCGACATCGTCTACAACGATCTGATCAAGAAGCCAGCCATTCGCAACAGCGTCGTGACGAACAATCGCCGTAATGGAATGCATCTACGATCTGTCGGGATCACCTTGGAAGAGGTCTGTGACTAGCAACGTTGCCGCTGAGGCCACGTTCACACTCCAGCGATTCAATCGCGCGATTGCGCCAGATCGCGCTTCGCTTCTGGTCGCTGGACTTATGCAGTGGTCGAAAGAAGTTCTACACCAACGCATCTGAATTATCATTGATATCGCCGCAATCGGTAGGGGCGGTGTCAAGGTTCATGGAATTAGACCGTCCGCAGCATTTGTCTAGCATGCTCCGCTCACTGTGGGCAAGTCTCAACACATGTCAGGCATGCCCAACTCTCCCCAGATGTTGCCCTTCTGCATGGGCTTTTTGCGACTTCTAAACTCTCTCGGCTAACTGAATTACGTGGGAAGCGCCGCCCATCAAAACCGCGCCCCGCCCATTTCGGGTGTGTCTCCCCTAATTAGTCTCACAATCCCTTGCTAACCTTACTCCACTTTTTCATCATCTCTGGGCCGCTCTGAAGCGAATTCTGTCTGCGGCACCGCCAACTTTCGGCGCATGCCCCACCCACTGTGGACGGAACTCCGCATAGGTCATGTGTGCTCTTTACATCTTGTTCCATGCCCTACCCATCCCCACCTTGATCCGAGCTCTCCAAGTTGTTCTTCAAGCGAAACCCGAATTTCCGGACAGATGAAACAACCAGCAAGCAAACGAACAAGCGAACAATAAACCCACAACAGTCGAAGCAATTATGTAATTACGGATGGGTTATTTTTTCCTAAATCGACCCACTAATCGGATCACTATGGTAGGGGAGAGAGGCAGCGAAGGGGGGGGGGGGGGCACACTCTGACCCTCCTGACACCGTCCAACTGACTGCGGCGAGATTTATCATAACAGTAACGACTATCCGATGACTAGATGTGGAGCAAGAGTGGCAGCAGTGCACGATTCCCGAGTTCTGGGACTAACTCGCTCTGGGCGCGAATTGTAAACGCAACCAAATACACTGTAGGAATACTATTACAGATGGCTCTAACCCGTTCGGGACAAGCAGGACTGCGTTATAATCCACGGATTTCCTCATCACTGCAGAGAGACATTGTATCATGGCTTGACATGAGAGAACAACCAGAGCTCGAAGCTAACAACATCTACATCATACCGGACAGCAGTTTTCGAACTGTTAAGGTAAGTCTCGCAAGAATTAGAAGCAAGTACAGTAAGAAATTTCCAATTTCTAACCTGACTAGCTTATTATAAAAGGATAAAAAACGTACAATCGGTAGCCATTACTCAATAGTCCCTCTTACAACCCTGTGTTTGGGAGTGGAATCCTAGATCGGCTTCTGTTCAGCCCAGTCTAGCCTTCGACCCTCCGTTATCGGTCTGGTAGTAAATTTGTCTGAAGAGAATGGCTCATGTACTGCTGCGTGTACATGACTCTTGAAGGTGACTGTAGTGGGGCAAATCGCGGTAAAACAAGATTATAAATGTAGGAAAACAGGCAGTATACAGTAAATCCAAAAAGGTGAGTGTAAAATGTGAAACTAAATGTGTTGGTCCCGCAAACACGCATAAATGGGCTTGTCGTTAGCCGGTTTATCTATCCAGCTTTGAGATACTTTTATTAGCACGTGTTACGCGCCATTTGCACTGCCTAATGATGTACGCGTCATCGTTGATTCAAGTACTGCCTGGGCGGGAATTCCGGAAGATTGTGTGCAATCGCGGCTATGCACTTAATTTAACGCGCAGTCTTCCCTGCTGTACTCCGCCCGTTCTTATAGATCTATATTTCCGTCACCGTAAAGACCAGGTCGCACCAAGGATGTCACTGCGATTCGGGAGTTGACCGTGCGGCGCATCCCAAAGAGCTTCTCGCGGTTGCGTGACCATTGCAAACCCCTGGAAGGAGTCCTCCTTCCCGCTGCGAAAGGCTAAAGCGCAGAGAAATGAAAAACTGAAAAACCGGCCGCCAAGGCATCGAGGGGTACAAAGAACATGTCGCGAGCCAGGAGATGATTTTTTTCAAAAAGAGAGAGGAGACCGGGGTGGATGAAACACTTATTATGCGTGAAAAGCTGGAATGTGAAAGGACAGAGCGGTCACAGATCGCCTTGCAGAAATGAGAGCGCAGAGAAAAACAGAAAATTGACAGCATTAAGCGGATTGAGTCTTGGTTGTAGACCCCTACGTCTCAGGATCTAAATAAGCGTCGCGATCAAAACGTCACTGTCATTCTTCCCAACTAGCCGTTACTAGCCTTTTCATTATATTCTCATCTCATTCAGGTACTTGAGAGTCATCTTAAATCAAAGAAAGTTCCTCGTAGCGAAGGAGACACCAGAATGTCCAGCTGGTGAGCCTGACAATCATTTTCTCGTGATCGTTGCTTAGAAAACGGACAAGTTTCAGTTCCGTTGGAGCGCTGCATCTTCGAGATGAACCTGGAGGCCAGCGGTTTCGGATATGGACTGCCGGCAAGAATGGCCATTCAGGTGGGTTTATCTGAGGCAGCATTCAGTTTTTTCGCGATAACGCGCGTCATTGCGAAGTCCGAACGCTGCCCAATCATTCTGGGCCAGTATAGCTTCCAAGAGAATCGTTCATTCCTGTTATGATGAATCCTTACCCTTTATCTACATGAAGCTTCTCCACAGTTTTTCATCGCGAGCTAATATAACGGCATACCTTTAGATCGTCAATCCCGTGTCGAACATTTCGGACGAAGATGCTGTGTTCTTCGACCGGGGAAGCGCGAAATCATTTAGTGCCAGGAGCAACTCCGTTCAGGTTTCCATCTATTTTGTACTTCTCTATTTTCTTTTCTGTTTGCGTTTTCCTGTAAAAAAACCTTTTTAGTTCCCTGTTGTCTTCAATTCCAATGTTACCATGCAGTATACTCGATCCTACGGTACTCCGAAACTCATCGTTCTTGTGCTCTTCCTCGATGGTAAGTATTGGCTCGGCGTCGGGTTAAGCTGAAGAAGTTTCATTCATATCTAGCTTGATCAAAGAAATATGCAAAATTACCACTGTCCACAAAATTTATAATCAGAACCAAAAAAATTGTGGCTATGGAGAAACAGTTTTGGTTTTGTTTTCATCAAGTGTCCCACAAGGAGTAGCAAAGTGTGAAAAAGAGGACCTGAATCCGGAGCATCATAGAGCATCAGATCAGAAGAGGGCTAGCCTGAAACATTGGCATTCGTCTGCAGAACCACTAGACAGAAGTTAGAAAACCCTGTCCGGCACTTCAAGGCGGAGGCGTTTGAAAGACTCTAAGCGGATGTAGGGTCACCGTAATTCATACTGTAGCACTGTCCCTTTATGATAGTCGACCGGGGAGCTTCTCTTCCTTCAGGCCCGGGCTAAAGTTTCCATTGATCATATGAAAATAAAACGAGGAATCTTAGTTCTGCGCAACGAGTTCCAAAATGCTCCTCCCCATCCCCAACTTAACAGTGTAAGAATGAATGTACTGTAATCGAACCATTGAGGGTCCAGTGTTCGACACTCGCTACCGCTGACGGTCAGTGGGGCGTGTTAGCAGCGCTTGGGGTTTTGGCGCGGCTTCAGTCCTTTTCTCACCTTCCGTAGAACGCCCGAAGCCACGAGATCGGTGGAAAAAAGCTGGCGCAGCACCAAATCCCATGCGCTGCTGACACCCATTGGCTCAGTGATAGTGAGGAAGGCACGTCCTGGAGAATCTCCAGGCGGTGGGGCCGTCTTCGGTCGTTGGAAGGAGAGGAGGGGGGCGGGGGCGTATTTGGTCCGAGAATTTTTTTATAAGTAGTTTTCCTCTCCGACGGACGCTGGGAAGGTTCCAATGGGAGGGGTAGACGGCGTGTTCTCCCTGGTACTCATCGGCGGCAGAAAGTACCCTAATGTGGCTACACAAGGTATGAATTCTGTGCCAGAACCCTTCAACCACCCTCTGGCACTGCAACGTCCTGGATGGGTGAGCGGATCGGTGATCTGCCTGCTGTACCACTCAACCACTGGTATCGGTTCCCATGCCCGAAACACTAGGGAGAGTGGAAAGGACCAAACCAGGCGTAGTTGGTGCGAAGGTATGCTGCTGTACTAGCGTTTGCAGCGTATGCGACGCGGGCCGTGTGACTCTGCCCCAATACTAGGTCTGTAACGCATGTACTGTACAGGCGTGCTAATATTGGAGGCGACCGGCACCGAATTACGAACCACTTAGATATGTGGTTGCAGCATAAAAGGGGGTTTTTCTGTAACAGCTGTTATGCGCGTTGGATAGTCCGCAACTACGACTCCTGCAGCTGCCGAAAACTCTAGACGCCTAACACAAGGTCCTTGCCTGTTCAAATTCCACCGGTGCAGATGAAGCAAAAAATTCGAAGGCTCACTTTGTAAGAAGTTAGTGAAAGTCGTATGTGTCAGGATTGAACAACAGAAGTGTACGTGCCAGTTGATTTACTCGTGAAGAGGATATAAGAGAAAACCGTTGAAGCCTTCCCAAATAAAGCTCTCCTCATTCCAACGAGGAGCGGAAATTTGTTAGAATCAGGACCGAGAGACCAGACAAGCGAGAGCGAGGGAGAAAGCATGCAGACCAGTAAGACGACAGACAACAGCAAGGGCGGAGTCGCTAGAGCAACCCTGCGCCTCAACGCTCGTACCTTACAACTTTCTAAAGCGTAAGTTGTACCAACGAGAGTGTACTTTGCGGTCTACACTACCTTTCCCTAAGGGCATCGATTCTTATGTTAATCGTTAAAGGTACCTCTTTAACTTCTTTAACTTATTAGCAGGCTTCAAACTGAGATTCTCACGCTGAGCGTTCTGATGAACGCAGTTTGAGCCGCTGGTTTTTATGACACAATCAACGCTTGTAGGGGCATGAGTCTCAAGGGCCTTGAGGAATATCCTCTCTTTTGAAGGAGACTCAATGTTGTCGATTGGGCTTGAGTTTACTGAATCTGACCTCTTACTGGCAAACCACTTTTTTTCAGTATAATCGCCTAAATAGAGGTCTTTTGAGTGTAGTTCTGATGCGGGGTTCTAGTTCAAGCGCAGGGGGATATCGTTATATGTACATATTGTTCTCTTCCTTCGACTGCATAAACTATTTCTTCACAATCTCTCAGTATTACCCATTTTCAGCTCAAGAATACCTCGATCGATTTGTACACCTCTACAACTCAGTGGTCGAAGATAATCAGTACGGTATTTCATCGGTACACTACAGTAATCTGTCATATGCTGATGGAACTATCACCAATCGATGGAGCAACGAGAAGCTGTGGTTCCAAAAGGTAAGCAAAGACGTTTTCATTAATTTGTTTGAGTACGGTAAAGCGCTGTTAGGCTTCGGGGGCATTCTGCACATTTGCTAGTGCCTTTAGTCACTTCCTGCTTAGTTCCACGTTTCATCTTGATGAGACCCGTAGATTCTTGTAAATGAAACGACGCTTTGCTCTCTATAGCTTTACGGAAGCAGGCCTCCTTAGGAAGCTTGAACAATGGTCAGTGTGAACCAACAAGGCTTCCTCCCCCCCCTTCCTCCAATCAGGCTTCAGCCCTTACGAGTGATAGTGGGAAACTTTGAGTACTGGCCAACGCAGGTTGTAGATATGAACTGGTTGTCCCTCTACAGTTTCGAGATGGATAAAGATAACTATGCTATCCCTCTCAAGTTGTGAAATGGACAAAAGTCTTTTTTTCGATTTCAAGTGTACGTGACCTCGGTCTTAGGGAGCGGGGGCGGGGGGA